TCCCCCCGCGAGGCCCAGAGGGCTCCAGAGCATCCAGGCGTGGCGGGAACAGCCGGGGACGAGGGGGGGGGGCCAGCTCGGGGGCAGAGGCAGCGACCTGGAATCGGCGACACGCCGCCGATAGGTCTGCGATGGGCCCCTGGCAGCGCAGCCGCGCGCTCCCGGGCGGGGTGGGCTGTTGGGCACCCGTCGGCGATGCATGGGCGACTGGGGGTCGATGCGTCCCGGCCCCCCCTGAGCCCACCCCCCCCTGAGGGAGTGCGCCTGTTCTTCTCCCTCCTCCTCCTCCTCCTCCTCCTCCTCCCCCTCCTCCTCTATATCATCGTTCTCCTCCTCATGCTCAGCTTCATTCTCATCCCTTTCCTCCTCCCTACTCCTCCTTCCTCCCCCCTCCCCCCCGAGCCCCCCACAACGAGAAAAGAAACAACCGCGTAAACATAAACTTTCGCCGGTCCGCGCGGATTTCTTGGATCTGCGCTGGACCCCCCCTCCCTGGCGAGCGGAGCGCGTTGGGGCGGCGCTCGAGGCGCCGCCTGGGGTGGTCCAGCGCAGATCCAAGAAATCGGCGCGGACCGTCAACAATTTATGCTTGACGCGTGTATTCTTTTCCGACTCACGTTGCTCCCGAAGACCTGCGGTCGACCGACCGACCGTCCGATTTGGACGCCCGAGGTACAGCAGAGTTTGTCCCAAACCAACAGCGGCCGCTGTTGGGCAGGCGGCCTTCTGTCTCAAGCGGACACGGCCCGCGGCGACACGGACAGCGAGCCCAGTCCCAAATGAACAGGAACTGCTATCGGTCCGAGTGCCCACACTTGCCGTACCCACTTCGATCGTTCCGAACCTTCGGTCGGCCGACCAACCTTGAGTCGGGCATGTCCTTCTACAGGAGGAATATTCAAAAATAGTCAACAAATCGTCTGGGGAGGATTTTTCGATTCCTCTGGATTTATATATATATATATATACACATTTTGCTCGTAAGACAAATTCTTCCTCGGACATCCGCCCGTAGGGGGACCTGCCCGACCTAAGACCAACCTCCGGAGGCCCGCCGCGGCTCTCGCGCGGCCGGCGCCGCCGCTGGCTCCGCCCCCGCGGCGCGCGGCTGGCGCAGCGGGGCCGCGTCCTGCGCCTGGGCGGCGCGCGCACCCGCTGGCCCCGATCCCTTCGCCTTGGCACAGAGGAGAGGAGGAGGATGAGGAGGAGGAGAGGGAGGAGAGGAGAAGGAGGAGGGAGGATGAGGAGGAGCAGGCGTGAAGGAGGGGAGGAGGAGGCGGAGGCGGAGGAGGGGGAGGAGGAGGAGGAGGAGGAGGAGGAGAGGAGGAGGAGAGGAAGGAGGAGGAGGCGGCAGGAGGAGGCTAGGAAAGGAGGCCTAGAGGAGGAGAGGAGGGGCTGGGCAAGCTCCTCTGAAGCACAGGACGAGGACAACTTCGGGTGAGGATACATCAAGAATCTCTGAGATCCGGCGGCTCTGGAGGCAATCTCGGGCGCCGCGGCCTTCGCAGAGCGTTCCGGAACGCTCTGAGAGCGTTCGCGGAACGCTCTGGAACGGATCTATCCTCGTCCTGTCCTCGTATACATATACACTTTCGGAGCCCCTAGCGGATTTCTTGGATCGGCGCTGGGGCCCCCTGGCGGTGCCTCCAGCGCCAGCATCTGGCGCTCTCCCCGCGCCAGGGAGGGAGGGGGCTCCAGCGCAGGTCCAAGAAACCCGCGCGGAGCTCCCACAGGTTGTGTTCATGCAATTGTTTCTTATTCGATCCTCGTCTCTTGACCTGGCAGTCAGGTTTCTGCTGGCCTCGTTGCCACCAATTTCCAAGTGCGGGCGACTGGCAGCGAGTCGCAGCCAGACAACTGCAAGATGGCGGCAATGAGGGATTCCTGCTTCGCATCTGCCGTCTGTCTGGGCAGCGCGACTGTCTCTCGGGCGATCGGTCTCTGTTGGGGCATGTAAATCCAGCAATAAGCGCTCCCAACTTTCTGGCGCAATCGGGTTTGATGAGCGCGCCGACCCCGAAACCTCGATGGGAGAGGATTCCGGAGTGTGCGACCGCTGTACCCTTTCTTGACACTCCTTTGCTTTCGCCTTCTCTCTGTGTTCTTTCAGCGGTGCTCGTCCTCCTGCTCGTCCTCGTCCACGGCGTCGTCGTCGTCGTCGTTCTTCGTGGCCCCTGCTTGGACGCTCCAAGATGCCAGGGTGGAGGCTCGCTGCACCGCTGGCCCTTCCAGGGGCCACCCCTCGGAGACTTCGAGGCGCCCCTGGGGAGACCTCCGGAGCCGGATCCAGGGCCCTGCACTCTCGACGTCGGCGTCTGCCGTCGGCGTCGGCCTCGATGTCGCCGCGGCGCCGGGCGGGCAGCGATTCCCGGGGCCGGGGCCCTGGCCGACGGAGGCGCGCGAGGAGCTCGAGGGGCGGCGCGCGCGCGGCGCGGCGTGCTCGCCGAGCTGCTTTTCGGGGCCGGCCCCCGGGCAGGGAGGCGGCGGGTCCGAGCGGGGGGGAGGGCAGGAAGAGAACGGGCTCGTCGCCGTCGTCGCCGTCGTCGTCGTCGTCGTCGTCGTCGTCGCCGTCGTCGTCGTCGATGTCGTCGTCGTCGTCGTCGTCGTCGTCGTCGTCGTCGTCGTCGTCGTCGTCGTGGTCGTCGTCGTCGTCGTCGTCGTCGGGGGGGAGTGGCTGCCCCTCGCTGAGAGCTCTGCAGGCGGGTTATTGCGCACAGGGCGCGCGACAGGGCACAGGACTCTTCCGACGGCGACATGGCCTCCCAGGCCACGGGACACAAGGGTACCCTGCCGAGGCCGCAGAGGACACGACGCGCGATGCACAGGACACAAGAGCACCCTTGATTTCGCAGGGCCGACCTACTAATGGAACCCGACTGTAGGGGCAGGCGAGGTTTGGCCAATGCCAGTGATGGTGAGGAAAAGTCGCCACCGCGCAGGCTCGAGTCGGAGAAACACAGCGCACCATAGCCACATCCGCCCGACACGAGGCGGCCTTGCGCTCGAGGAACAAATCGCGTCGCGGTCGTGAGAAGAACGCACGCTCCACTTTGGCCTCAGGCTCGGTCTACTGCCTGGTGGATCCAAGCTGCGAGCTCATTTCTCAATCGGCCAGCCCACTAGGCGCAGGTGCCTCACATTATCCCAACCAATCCGTTCAGGGGGTCTGGACCGGATGGGCAGCAAGCGTCCAATCTGGCTCCGTAGAGGTTAGTGATACTCCAAAATGGTTTCCAAGACTGCCCGGATTGGCCCCAGATCGCCTCCTGCACGAGGCCACAAGATGACCCCATGATGGCCTAAGGGGTCGCCATGGAGCTCGTTTGGCAGGCAGCAGATCATTCACCTTCTCGGCTTCGGATGCGCTTCTGTGGCCTCAAGATGGCGAAATCATGGCCCAAAAGAACTCCAATAACGGCCCACCAAGGACCCAAGATGGAGTGGGGCATCGAGCCGCTTCCGGTTCCGGAATCCCCCTGGAACCGTTTCAGGGTGACTGTTGGAACCTGAATCGGGTGACTCTCCATCTGGGCCGCTCTGAGAAGCATGATGGGCCGCCGTTCCAAGGTGATTTTCCACCTGGCCCTTCCTTTGAGATTCAGGAGGAAGGCCCAACCTAGAAAGAAGGCCCCCAAACAACAAATTCGATTTGGAAGATTGCAACTTTTTGGGCTCGGGTCCCCCCCCCCCCGCGTATCCCCGAGAGCGCCTGCTGCATTGAGGAGAGCCCCAATGGAAAATCACCCTGGTACGGCTCTGGGGCGATTTTCCATCTGGGGCGCCTCCAGTGCAGCAAGCCCTCTCGGTGTAAGTGGGAGGCCGGTGCATCCGAGACCCCAAATGTGCCACTTTCCAAATCAATTTTTTTCACTGGGGTGCCTTCTCTCTGGCTTGGGCCCCTCCGCCAGAATCTCTGAGGGTGCCAAATCAAAAATTATTCCCGCACTGTTCCCTCTCAGGAATAAGGGTGGGGGTATGTGCCCGAGACTGCACATTTGCCATTTTCCAAATCGAAAGCTATATATATATATACATACATACATACATACATACATTACTACATATATATATATATATTATATATATATATATATATATATATATATAGGGGACCTTTCTCTCTCGGCTGGGGCCTCCAATAGCTGAGTCTCGGGGTGGCCCCAAAGGAAAGTCACCCCGCAACCGTTCCTGGGGCGCCCCGTATGCAGTATGCGCTCTCGGAGGTAAGTGGGCGGGGGTACAGCCGAGCCCACTGCTTCGTCATCCTCCAAATCGAACGTCTTATCGGGCCGCCTTCTCTCTCGGCTGCACCCCCCCGGCAAAATCTCGGGGGGCGGGAGGGGGGCAGATGGAAAATCAGCCCGAAACCGTTCCAGGTTGATTTCTCCATTTGGGGCGGTCACAACACAGGAAGCCCTCTCAGACATGACCTGAGCCCACAACCTTGTCATTCTCCAAATGCAATATCTTCTTGGGTAGGCGTCTCTTTCTCTCTCTCTCTCTCTCAGTATAAGGCCCCCGCCAACATTTCCCTCGAGTCGCGCCGTTCGCTATACCTAAACCAAGGGCGTGGACCGCGCAAGGATAAGTCTGCTGCGCTGCTTCACATTGGATTGTGGCTGGCAAAGCTCTTATGTATGAGTTTGAAGAAACTACAGGGGAAGCGGACCAGCAGCAGGTCGAAACACAGGAGAGACATGAGACAAGCTGGGTGTTCGAGGGTATCGAGGGGCCAGCTCTTGCGTCAACGGCCGCCCTGGCCGGCTACAAGTTTTAGGTCGGGCATGCCACCCACAGGCGGATTTTGGACGAAAAAGTAAACAGAAGTTAAAACATACGCCAACACATATTCAGATATACTCAACAAATCGTCCCCAGACATTTTTTTGACTATGTTTGTAAATAGTCCTCCTGTAGAGGGACAGGCCCGACTTGATATAAGTTCCCACAAGGACAGCGTGGGCTCCGAACCATTCCGCTGGGGAAAGCCTCATCAGTGCCTCACTGCGTCGACCTCGCTCGCCTCGTGTGGCCTCCCGGGCGTCCCAGCAAGAGGTCCCATGCCCTCTGCGGCCTCAGTCGCACTTCTTTGGGCGCCCGAGTTATCCGGGGTAACTCGGGTCCAGGGTAACTCGGGCTTGGATTCCCGAAAAAAGGAACCCGAGTTAGCCCTGATCCGAGTTACATACTCCTGATGATGTGGGGCTCTGGACGCCCGAGTTATCTGGGGTAACTCGGGTCCGGGGTAACTCGGGTTTGGATTCCCGAAAAACGAACCCGAGTTATCCCTGACCCGAGTTACCCCTGATGATTCGGGGCTCTGACTTCTGGTGGAAGTCGGGCGTCGTGTACGTCTGGGAAGATGTCTGGCCGCCCTGGCCGGCTACAAAGTTCCCTGGGTCCAAGCAGTGATGAGGCGCTCGCTGTCGGCCGATTCCGGGCCACTGGCGGGCTTCCACCTGGAACGCCTCTGCTTCGAGGTCGCCGCAGCGTCGACGCGACGCGACCCGGCCGTACAGCACCACCTCCTCCTCTTCCTGCTCCTCCTGATCCTGCTGCTCCTCCTGCTCCTCCTCCTGCTCCTCCCCACCCTCCTCCTCCCCTCCCCCTCCCCTCCTCCTCCCCCTCCTCCTCCTCCTCCTTCCTCCTCCTCCTCCTCCGCCTCCTCTCTCCTCCTCCTCCTCCTCCTCCCGCCTCCTCACTCTCCTCCTCCTCCCCTCCTCCTCCTCCTCCTACTTCCCCCTCCCCCTCCTCCTCCCCCTCGCCCCTCCTCCTCCTCCTCCTCCTCCTCCTCCTCCTCCTCCTCCTCGCTCCTCCTCCTCCTCCTCCTCCTCCCATCCTCCCCCTGCTCTTGCAAGCACGCTGCACGAGTCCCACCTCCCGCCTGCATGCACCTCCACTCCCCAGGATCCGAACCTCCAGGGCGGCCGCGCCTCCGCGAGCTCCTCCTCGAGGGAGGCCGCGCGGGATCGCGAGCGACCGGCGCGCTCTTCCCAACCGGCTCGCCGCCAAGGCGAAGCGCACTCAACGCCTGTGGACCCGCCACGCGCACAGGCTGTCGCGGACCTGTGCAAAGCAAGATGGCGCTCGAATTTCTCCCTGGGTCCCTGGGGCTGGCTTGGGGCCGAGAACCTGTGGCAGCGCTGATGGCCCTACCTCTTGGATGTGGGCCTCTCGACCGACCACTCGACCACCTCCGTTGGCCGCTTCGGCTACGATTCGGCGGCGCGCCAATGGGGGGAAAGCAGAGGCGGCGGGCCTTCTAACTTCTCAGAAGGCTCACAAAGCCTCCTCCGGCCTGACGAGAAGCTACCTGAGCCTCCTCCGAAGCCCCGCCGCATTCTGAAATGCCTGCCCCCTCTGTAGTCGGGGATCTGTCGACCCCTATCCCAGGCTTCGTGGGGTTTTCAATTGGGGCCCAACCCTGGGATATACGCCATCCTGGGGGTGTATCCCAGAATTTCTTTTCTCCCCACGATGATGACCTCGGACCGACGACAATGCAAGTGAACAGTCGGTGCCGATCCACCGGCCTAAGCAGTGAGCACCGTGCGAGTAAAACGGCCGCCGATCAAGCCCAGACCGCCACGCAAGCCGACCTGCAATGGGCAAGCTCGTGTAGAGCCTTCGCGAGCGGCCAAACTTTTCGGGCCGACGTCGGGGGCTGGGGGAGAAACACTCCTCCTCCTCCTCCTCC